GGTCACAAGCACCCAGACATCTGCTATGCTGCCAGGTCTGGGGCATGCAAAGAATGGCAGCGCTCACAAATTTAGATTTATAGGTCTGTGGTTTCAGCGCAGTTGAAGCATGAGGCAGGGCCCAAAACAGTTATGATGAGGGTTCCCGTCTTCATGCCGCAGAGAATCCGTGGGAGGGGGGCAGCTTGCACAGGTCTGAGGAGGCACTCAACTCACTGGGCATATCTACACGTTGCGCTAAGTTGCCATACAGCGCGCTATGGCAGTGATCACACGGGTCTATACACGATCGCCAGCTATATCACTGTAGTGGTGTGCTAGATCAAGAGAGCACACCACTATGGTGACGCAGTAGCGAAATCTAACTATGCGCCCCGCACACAGCGCAGTAACTGTCCATACTGTACCATGTGTTAATACTTCCAAAAGGAAGTACTAAAGCACGGTGCTGTAGCAACATTGGCATACGGCAAAATGTAGACATGCCCATTGTATTCTATTTGGCGATTTAATCATCAATTTCAGTCACAGAAGAGGGGAGGGGCAGTTACCAGTTTGGAAACTAAAGCTCTGGAAAATTTTTCTTTGGCCACTTGGAGATTGATGCTTTCACGGTCAGTGGCAAATTGTTCATTTTAATGACCTTTAATACATTTATATTTAACTGCATCACTCCATCAAGGGGTTAAAATGCTTCCATCCCCATTTCTTGGTGACAAATCAGCTGCAGGTCAGCGCTGCCAGCTCATGCTCTTCATGCCCTGGCCACAATTAGAAGCCACCCATACATGGACTAAAGAGGCTGTCAAGATCTTGAGGGGAGGAGCATCATGTCTCCCTCCCCCTCCAATCAGCCTTTACTCAATATTCCCTTGTGTGAAGAAGTTGAAGGTAACTGTAGGAACAGAGCTACTGCTCCCTCATTACCAAAATACCCAGCTGCCAGAACCCTCTCTCTCCCTCTGCTCCCAAACAGAGAGATGTAGTACCTTCATACTTTCCCCCAAGACAGTCTTTCACCCTACAACCCTAGAAAGTAAAAGAAGAAAAGATTGTTTTGCCAAACTTGGTTTTTTTTTCATTTCAGAAGTGAGAAAGTTTCAGTGATGTACCACAAATTCAAAGCAAGGAAAATGTTTAGGAAAGATCTCTTTGTTTGCAGGCAGAAGCAATATAACCCTCCTTCTCAACCAAGGATGATAGGTTGTGGCAGTAATCAGAAAACTATGGCCATTTCGTAAAATCAATTCAGAATAGAAATTAAAAAAGAAAAAGAAGTCCACACACGTTTAAAAAAACAAAACAAAACAAAACAAAACAAAAAAACCCTGCAAACTAGCCCGGCTCACCTACAATTTCTTAAAGACAAAAGGCAAACAACCAGGGGAAAGTTCCAAGAGCAAGGAGCTGTGATGTTCTACGCACACCAGTAAAAGAAGTCAGTGTTCCCATGCTGTTTGTTCAACACAGGCAGATTTGTAAATAGAGGTGCACCAATACATCAGTCCATATTGTATCGGCACCGATAAAAGGGAAATTGACATCATCAGCAATCAGCTTTTTTTGGCTGAAGTGGGCGACAGAGATGTCCCTAGGGATGTGGGGCCCGGGACATATCAACCCATGCAGGGTTGGGGGGTGGTGAGTGGCCAGATTGCAGAGCAGGGTGGGGTGAGCAGCTGGAGCAGGGGGAGGGGGTAGTGGTGAGCAGCAGGAGCGCAAAGCTGGTGGCGAATGACTGCTGCGGCAGGGCCTGTACGGCACTGTTCGCAGGGCTCCCCAAAGCACGGGGCCTGGGGCAGTTGCCCCAATTCGTTTTCTACTAGGGACAGCCCTGGTGACCGATAATGTTACTGATAAATGCGCATGTATACATGCAGCCACAGCATCCACACAGCCAAAAGTGCAACTCAGCAGGGTGGAGAAAAGTGTCCAGATGGTAAGTCTGTGGGGTGAGGAAGGGGGGAAGGGGCACGAGGGAGGGAAGGAGCTTGATATGGAGGGCAGATCAAGGCACCCACAGTGAGGGAGGGAACAGGGTTGGGGCAGCCAGGGCAGGGCAGGGCATGGGACAGAGCCACAGCTCATCTGGGGGAAGGAGGCTCCTACCACTGCACGCACCAAGGGCAGCATGGGGGCATGTGCCCACGGATGTGTGCACAGGGTGAGGTTAGGCAGCCATTACGTGCTTGGTGCTAGTGCTGAGCCCACGGCCCCTAGTGTGCAGCACGCTGCCTGACCTCACCCCACGCACAGATCTGAGGGGCACATGCCCCCCATGCCTCCTCCGGGGGTGCACACAGCAGCAGGAGCCACCCGCCCCTCCACAAGCCGTGGCTCTGTCCCATACCCTGCTCTAGCTGTGCAAAACCTGCCCCAACCTCACTCCCTCAGCATGGGTGCCTTGATCTGTCCACTCCACACCCCTTCCCTCTCCCATACTCTTCCCCCCCCACAATAGACTTACCAGATGATGCTGCTCTCCATGCTGCCGGGCTGCATAAATCAGCAAGGGGATCAGTATCAGCCGATATGGCTCGTTAATAATCAGTATCGGCCCAAAAAATCGTAATTGGTGCACCCCTATATGTAAACCAGCCTGGAACGGGAGTAGGCTGTAAGACAATCATGAGACAGGGAGGCAGAAGGACTATGTCTGGGAGCTTTAGAAAATAAAGGGCAGCAGAGATCAGAGCACCCCAGATTAAGAAAAGAAGCCCCATCACCCTGAGCACAAACAGGGGGAGGAGAAAGTCTCTCATCCCTTCCTCCAACCAAGTCAGCAAAGAAGTCAGCTCATTCCAGAAAGAAGAGTCCATCAAGTGCCTTATCAGCACCTAGTTTCTGGTGGCAAGGTACTACTGCTTCTTCATGAAGTGTTCATGCAATCTGGTTTGATAGAGAACAGCCCAATTTCTCATGTCTTTTCCCATAGTTTGTGTGGCTATACCAACAGTCAAGGTCCTGAGCAAAACCATTTCTTTAGTCAGTAGGAAAATAGACTGAAGAGCTTCCTCCAGCTACAATGAAGAGCTCTTACCATGTGATGAGGATGCACACAGGAAAAAGTATGTTCTCAATTACCTAAGGATCCTGCAAAATTCAAAAGATTGTAACGAACATCAGAACTTGAGACCAGTTATGGTCCGCCACCCATAAAACCTGCAGGAAGTCTCACACCAGTCCAAGTGAGGGGGACACACTTGAGGTGGATCCCACATCTCAAAATGGTACCCAAGGACTTAAGAGTTACAAATGGACAGGGAATTCTAATCCCAGTACTTCAGGGCATTTTCACTAACTAAAGAACCTGAACCAAATGGGAAGAGCTTCCTTAGGCAGCATGGTGGGGAAAGAAAAAGAGGAGA